AAAAAAATGCGAGTTGGCTTCGAGTTCATGGTTCGGCGTAAGTTAAAGACAACTTTCCTCAACTTTCATCTTTTTAGTATCTGTAGTTTCGTAGCTCGATTATGCAAACACGCACAGAAATACTCATACAAAAATGAACAAACTTACAAAGAACGGAAAATACCGACGGACAAAGAGGAACCACGAAGGTATACACGCACGCACACACACACACACACACACACACACACACACACACACACACACATACACATATACATAAAAATAAACAAACACAGGTATTCAACAAGTGGACGCAAACAGAGAGACGCAAACAGACAGACACATACACATACACCCACCCACACACACCCATAAACATAGAAACTCACGGACATCCCTTGAAGAGTTGCAGCCCATAGCATTGTTCTTTACCTATGCAGCAGGTGATTATCCCACCTACTTTGACCAACGGTCAACCTACTTCGTTGCGTTGTCCAATAAGATTCGCACACACAAACAAATAACATATGTGACGCACTCAAGTCCAAACACAGAAGCAAAAGCACAGACACAAATACATACACTCACACACATACACGCACACATTCACACACACACGCATACACACACATACACACACATACACACACACGCACGCATACACATAGAAATACACACACGCATGCATACACATAGAAATACATACACATACACGGACGCACGCATAGAAATACATACATACACACGCAAAAGTACATGTGTACAGAAAAACAGATACATAAACACACACGCACATACATATGCAGAAATGTTTTCGTTATTATACGTTCTTATTTGTGCGAGAATGCATAAATAAAAAGTGGTGATGGAATCAATAAAAAAAAACAACTTACCCATAACGATCAGTGGGAGAGAGAGCTCGGTGCTAGCCGGGAAATACGCCGCCGACCATGCAACACACACACTGCAATCAACAACAACACCAGAAACTACAGTGAAGTAAGCAAATGCCCAATCGTAACGAAGAACGAAAACGCAACAACCCAACTACAGCCAGACAAAAAACAGCCAGTGGTACAGGTCAGCAGCGATCAATGGACAGGTCATTCACTGTGAGCTGCAGGTCACTACAGGACAGGTCAGGTAAGGTAACCCACGGGGATAGGATCAGGTCGAACTGGGTAAGGTAACCCAAGGGGACAGGAACAGGTCAGGCGAGGTAAGATAACCCACGGGGACAGGAACAGGTGAGACTGGGTAAGGTAACCCAAGGGGATAGAAACAGGTCAGGCAAGGTAAGGTAACCCACGGGGACAGGATCAGGTCGAACTGGGTAAGGTAACCCAAGGGGATAGAAACAGGTCAGGTAAGGCAGCCCAAGGAGGTAGGATCAGGTCAAGGTGAGTAAGGAAACCCATGGAGATAGGAACGGGAAAGGTGCAGCTCGTTTTTACACACTGCATGCTCAGTTTTATTTGAGACGGGGCGTAAATGGGGAGGTAACCCGAGAAGCGGGGAACAAATGTGGGCGCTGGCTAAGAACCATGGCAACTCGGGGCTTTTCAGTGAACAAAACCGAACGGGTTGTGGAAGTGGTGGTGGTAGAATTACCTCGTAAATGCCAGTATTCGGACGCGTATAGGCAAAAAAACATCGTCACATTGCGTCTAGTGCGCAAAAATACAGTGCACAGTTGGGAAAATTCTCGAAATTCCGTTTGTTGGAACCCTCTTTGTCTATTTCCAGACCGCATTCCCCCCCGCAAATGGCCCAATGGCCCAAAAATAAAAGACCAAAAATGAGGTGCTTCCCGCAATCACACAACAAAGCAATTTCACTTTACAGGCAGTAAACTGCACCATAAACGGAGGCGAAGGCACTGGAATGTAGCCCGAGTAGTAGTAAATGCCAAAAGCAACCACTCGCTGGTCAAAAACATTGCGATGGTTCAACAGTAAGCCGATGGCTGTGCTGGGACTCAATGAGATGTCCCAGTACCAGTTCACTATCGAAACGAATGAACGAATCGTAGAAAGACTGGTGATTTTGACAGCTCATTGGATCAAATGAAAGGCTTGAATAATGGGACAGTGCACAGACACGCAAAAATGGTCATTTTGCGCCTTTGAAGTGACCAAACGGTCAAAAGTTGGCCAATAATGACCATCAGCGTGTATAGGCTGCTTGGAAAGAGGGTCTTCCCTCATCCCGAAGGTATCGTATACCGCGATGAAACTACTACAAGCAAGATATATAATTCGTCTGGAACTACAAGAAAGATATATAATTTTACCTTAAAGGACTGAATGACCAAGAACTGGGGCAGTGGAAAAGAGGCACCGCTAATCCGGCGAGCCGGGAGGACCTGGTTGAGGTTGAGTGGACTGTCCCGGATTCACCCCGAATCAGCGAACTCCGACATCCACCCGGAAACCAAACCGCGGTAGCATTCTCCCCTGCCCCTGATCATTTCCCATAAGTAAGTAACCTCTGCCACCCCCGAAACACAGGCATTGTTGGCCGATGGCCAGACGAACAGTTAGTTTCACGGTGCAGCGATCGATCTCTTGCCGCAACAGCGTTCGATGCCCACTGAGGTGAGGTGAGGTTAGATGCCGACTGAAGAGGGATCGGGCCGGGGGGAGAACGAGGGCCTGAGAGGGGGCAACAGGGGGAGGCTCACCTTCGGAGGGGAGCCGCTCCACTGTGCGTCGCTGTAACAATTTTACAATCCCCCCATTAATCGTAGGCTGTGCAATGCAGTGAACCGAGGTATCCTAGACATGATAAATGGGCACATTCGGGTGATCATCAGCCGCTGGGGAACGAGAATGACCACTAGCTGAACAGGTGCAACGAGGAGGAGGCTACCATCTGGACCGGCGATGACCACGTAGTGGACGGAGGGCGCAAAAGAACAGCTAGCGAGAGGGGGGAGGGAGATTTAATGGTTCACGTGAAGGGGTTCAGTGACAAATTATCACGTAAAAGAAATGTTATAACACGGGGCCACAACATCCTGTACTCCGGTACCGGCACATAGACGCTAGAGGGAACACCACGGTTCTGCATGAGGATCGGGGTTTGTGCGGGTGGGGGGGAGGGGGATCCATGCGAGTTTTTTCTGTAATCAGCATGAAACCTGATGCTGAGGGGGAGTTAACAATCGTGAACATGACACCTA